AGATAGGATATGGGGTATATGGGGCCCCAAAGCCATATTCTATCGAAAGCGGACTACATCCTGTACCCAGTGATTTCGATGAATAGCCTTGATAGCAACCAGCTCTTGGGCGCTCTTCAGGACACAGGGCTTAGGGGTTTAGGGGTTTNNTAGGGGTTTAGGGTTTAGGCTTGGCCCAAAATATACAACACAAAAAAGACCTGCGACTAGAGTCGTAAGGCTGCCGGGCGTGCGCTCTGAACAAGATGCAGGAGTGGGTACACGAGCTCACCTGCCGTGTCTGCCACGGACAGAAATACCCATACCGATAATAATAGTATCAATCATAGAAAATACTCATACTGATAATAAGAATAACAAGGAATATCAAACCCAATCTGCTATGAAGGTCTAAAGCATTAGCCTGCCTGTGGGCTTCTCGAGGGCGGGAGCTTGGTTGACTGCAATCTCCAGCAAGAGAATCCCAAAGGAATAGACCTCGAAGAGTCTGCAGTGCGACTACACTCCCTTCACAAGGCTCAGGGCTATTTTGCTAGTTCGCCTCCGTATGCTCATTCACGCACTTGGACCTTAGCACTTGAAGCTGCTTCAGAACTCAAAATCTGACGGAGCTGGCCGCAGAACATCGCTGGGATTCCAGCTGGAGGTAGCTTGGGCAGACATACCTGGCAGGCGACACGACATGAGCACAGCAAGGGCTTGAGTACTAACAGCTATAACAAGAGTAATAGTCAGCAACAGTAACAATAGAAGCAATACTACTGCAAATAGAATAACCCTACCAAGTAGTAAAAATCGTAGTAATTGCAATGGCTCACCCGGGCGTTCCGCTGATGCACGTCACCTGCGTAGCGGCGTAGGGCATCTTTCAAAGACTAAATTCACAATGACATACGGGTGCTTCGGAGGGGCGTGAACATAGGTACCCTTATAGTAAATAAAGGGAGTATTATATGCGGTCTAATGGGTTTTAAGTTTGGAGCTTGGGTTTTGTAAGAGGGGATTATATGGGGATTATTACAGTGATCCGCTCCCCTTAAGCACCAGTGAGATAAGCACAGGCGCACCGTGAGATGCGACTTGCCCGCATCCTGAGGTCAGTCACAGAGAATCTGAGTGAGTAGACTCCCCATGTGAGGGTTTAGGGTTTGGGGTT